AAAGGACAGCCCCCCCACATTGTTCAGGGGGGCCACACACACACACACACACACAGCTGCTGCGGCTGCAGTAATCGTACACTTAGCTTTGCAATGCTATAAATAAAAACAAAAAACTTCGGTTTTTTTTGTTGTTGTTCTTTTTCTTCTGGTTGTTGTTTTTTCTTCTTGTTCTTCTTTGCTTTCACGCTTTCGTCTTCACGTGTCGAGCCGAACCACTTCGATTCTTTTCCCCTCTGTTATCATCGTCCATGATCCCGCGTGTTGTTTTCATTGCGTTCATCCCTCATTTTTCAGTTCTTCGTTGATTTTGTTTTTTTTTTGTTTTTTGTGTGCTTTTTCTTTGTTTGTTTGGAAGAGGGGGGGGTTCTTTTCGTTTCATTTGACTTTCTTCCCGCACTCTTCATATCATCTCGCTTCTATATATATATATATATATATATATATCTCCCGCTGCGCCTTGCCTCTCCGTTCGATCCATCTCGCTCTACCTCCAGCGTCCTCCACCCCACCCCCACCCGGCATACACAATGTTCATGCGCAGGCCCCTTCGCACCGCCTGCCTGCCGCGCGACGCGTGCATGCAGGCGAATACACACAGTCACTCATACATACATGCATACATACATATATGTATATATGTATGTATGCGTGTGCATGTGCATGTGCGGGAGTGCATTGGCATTACGACTTGACGATGATTTGGAATATATCGCAGCCGCGCAGCACCTGCACCAAGAAGTTATGGTGCTCGCACAGCACCTCCACGTACTTCTGCAGCGCCGGGTTGACGGTGAGCTCCTCCTCCGGCACGTCGGGGAACTCCTCGCGCGCCTCGTGCTGGATCTGCATGCTGCGGTTCGCCAGCACCTCGCGCAGGTGCGACAGCGAGTGGAGCGAGTAGCCCGCGNCTGCATGCTGCGGTTCGCCAGCACCTCGCGCAGGTGCGACAGCGAGTGGAGCGAGTAGCCCGCGACGTCGAGGATCATGTCGCCCGCCTGGAACTGCAGCTCCTCCTCCTCCACCTTGGGCAACGGGCGGGCGATGCTCGTCACCTCGAGGTTCTTGTTGATGCTGCAGCCGAGGATGCCCTCGATCGCGAGGTTCGCGCTGGGCGGGTGGTCCATGTCCTCCGGCACGAACGTCATGTAGTGGAACGGCTTCGTCTGCCGCGGCGTGCCGGTGGCGCGGCGGCGGCGCTGTGGGCTCTCGAGATCCGACGCCGCTGCGAGCCGC